TCCAGCCGCGCCGCTTCGGTGCCGGCGGAGTCGCCAAGGCTTGCAGCAGATTTGGCCTCAGGTATGGATCCACGATTGGCCAAGAAGAAAGAGAAGAGTCGCCATCGCGCTGAGCAACATCGAGTTGCAAGCGCCCAAGGTCGCATTGAATCTTGGCGCGACTATGAGTCCAACTACCCTGAGGAGCTCGACTACTACGAGATCGCTCGAGCCAAGGTCGACTTCAAGCTTGGGACGATGCAGATGATGAAGGGAAGTTTGAGGAAGCCCCTCAGCCTTGAGGTCGAGAGAAGGGCCAGAGGCATCGTGGTAGCAAGAAGCCTGCAAAGGCAGAAAAGGCTGAAAAGCCAAGAGAAAAGGAGCCCAAGATCGAAGATCTCTCCACCAAGGAGCTGGCAGAGATGAAGCGGGAGAGCCAAGTCTGGACAGCTACAAGCCATCCAGCCCGCAATGTCATTGAGAAGGCACTCACTGCGCAGGTTTCAACCCAGAAGATTATGTGGTAATGAAGCGCAGTGTTCACCAAGGTGAAGGAGCAACCAGTGCACCATCCGTCACAGCACCAGTCATGGAGACCATCAATCCCCTTGATGTGGCTGAGATTGAGGGACTTGACGGCGCAGAGTTTGAAGATGAAGCTGAGGAAGATGAGAATGGCACTGAGCCAGCTGAAGAGGAAGATGATGACGAGCAAGAAGAGGAAAAGGCGCCAGAAGAAGATGATGATCCCGCGCCGTGGTTCGACCACAATCAGGAGCACATCATCAGCTATGATGAATGGGTGACAAAATGCACGCACAAGGCCAAGGACGGCCGCAAGTTCATGGCTTGCCATGCTTGCAACAAGGCATTGAAACGCGACAACGATACAGGGTTATGGAATCACCATATGGCTCTGAATTGTTGCCCACCAAAGGTTCTCGGCCAATGGGCTAAGGAATGGTCCCTCAAGCAAAAGCGAATCAAGACGGCAGAAGAGGTGGCAGAACACTTGAAAATGAAGGAGCCCAAGTGGGAAAGCGTCAAGAAAGAACCTCCTGTCTACATGACGGCCCACTTGCAGAAGATGATGGACGATCAGGAAGAGGAGGACAACATGGGTCCAAAGACGCCAAAGCAAAGGCGCGTTGCCAAGACACCTCCACATCCTGAGAAGAAAGGCAAGACCAAGGAGGAACGCGTGGCCTGGTTCAAGAGCTCGACGGAAGGGCACTTGGAACGATTCCGTGAGCCAGCTAGTGAGGCACCAAGGCAGATATGCTCAGGTTGAAGTCCCGGTCTCGTTCCCTGGGCAAGAGCCGAACCGCTTCGGTTCCGGCTGCCTCCAAGAAAGGCCACAAGAAAGGCCAAGAGAAGGCCAAGCAAAAGCAGAAGAAGGTACAGCTGACTCGAGCTGTCAATTCAATGTGGCAACAAAAGATGCCGCTCGTGAGACTCAGAAAGGAAAAGGAAAGCGGTATCCAACACCGACAAGCGAGCCAAGTGAAGGTGAAGGAGATCCACTGGCTCTCAAGAGTTTGGAGTTGGCATCCATTGAGACGCCCATGGCTCATCAGGTGACTTTGGATTCAGGAGCAGCCACTTCCTGTATCCCAGACGAACTCGCCGCAGCATTGGGCTACAAGCCTGTTTTGCCTGAAGGCGCCAATTCGAAGATCTACAAGACAGCATCGGGCGAGACGGTGACGGATCTTGGCAAGATCAACGCCAAGGTGACCTCGCGATCGGGGGAACGTGAAGAACAACATGAACCAGCAGAAGATGAAGCCGAAAGAACCAGAGACATCCAGGGCATTGAGATGGCTCTAGAAAGCCTAATCCTAGAAGACGGAGAGAGAGTGCTATCTAGTATCGACCCAGAGAAACCAGTGTGTGAAGACCAGATTCCACTGCCAGAAGAAATGGCAGAAGAAGCAAGAGACTGGTAGTACTATGATGACATCAGTGGAAAAGAACTCCTACTTGAAAAGGTAGAGAAAGCCAGAAAAGATGAGATCGACATTGTCGAATCTATGGGAGTTTGGGAGAAAATCCCAAGAAAGTTCCAAAAGGAACCAAAATCATTGGAACTCGATGGGTTGATGTGAACAAGCAAGATGAAACCAATCCTCTCTACAGAAGTAGATTGGTGGCACAGGAAATCAAAAGAGGCTCAGGTTTTGACGAATTTTCGCAGCCATGCCGAGCCTGGTAGCTTTGAAGTTACTGCTCACCATTGCAGTCAGCGGCAGCCTTCCATTGGAGAAAGGCGAGACAAGAAAGACCAGGCAATCTTTCCTAGGATTTTTAGATGTGCAAAGAGCTCATTTCTACTCCAAGGCAACAGGCAACAAGAGAACTTTATGTTGGGATTCCATCTGTTGGTCAGAAGCCTGTATAGCACCAGAGACGCACCCATGAATTGGGAACTGACCATTGCAGAGTTCACGCAGAAGTTAGGATTTTTGCAAGGAAAGTCAAATCCATGTATTTACTACCATTCAGCCAGAGAGCTTCGAACAGAAGTGCATGTAGATGATTTTACTACAGTAAGAAGTTTTGACGACATCAAATGGTTTCACACTTCAGCAGCCAAAGAAAGGCAAGTTGTGGAACGAGGCATTCTCGGTCCACCTGGATCACCAAAAGCCAGTCAACAGATCAGAGCGTTGAACCGCATCATCACTTGGTCAAACGAAGGCGTTTGGTGGGAACCAGATCCACGACGTGCAGAGTTGATCATCAAGTGGTTAGGGAGTGGTCAACCAGGCAAGGTCAAGACACCATTGGCCAAGCCAAGTCAAGAGGAACTCCAACACGAAGAAGTTCGGTTGAGCGCCGAAGATGCAACGATGTATAGATCTATTGCTATGAGAGCCGCGTATTTGGCACAAGATCGACCTGATCTGCAAACTGCAACGCGCTCGTTGGCACAGGGTCTACAGAACCCAACATCGAGGCACTGGAACATGCTGAAATGATTGGCGAGATGTGTCAGGTATCGACCAAGAGTTGCACAGCTGTTTCCAAATCAGAGCACCTGCAATCCTTTCAATATGTGGTCAGACGCCGACCATGCAGGATGCATAAGAACACGAAAGAGTGTGTCAGGCGGCGTGCTCATGGCCAACAAATGCTGTCTCACTACCTACAGCAAAGGCCAAAGAGTGGTCTCCCTTAGCAGTGGTGAACCCGAGTATTATGGACTTGTTTCTGGAGCATGTCAGATGCTTGGAATTGCATCAACGGCCAGAGACTGGGGATTGTTTCCCAGCAAAGAGGTGACAATGGACGCTTCCGCTGGCATCGCCATGCGAAACCGTCGAGGTTTGGGACGAGCCAAACATGTTGACACTCAGTACCACTGGGTACAAGAGCGTACAGCAAAGAAAGAGTTTCGTCTCAAGAAAGAAGGCGCCGACCGAATGTTGGCCGACGCGCTAACGAAAGCTGTCACCGAGGAGAAAATGACCACAGCCATGAAGGGCATGAACTTCCACTACCTGGAAAAGGTGAGCATGAACTAACACTGAGAGCTTGAACGGCTTGAGCTAGAGTAGGTACATCTTGGTCTTGAAGAAGTACTGAAGGGCTACGGGCTAATTCACTCATGTGCTAACCCTGACTCGCTTAACTTCTGAGAGACGTTAAACTCGGGAGGCGTGATCAGATGTAGCACCAGAGATATACATGTACATGCCATAGTTGTGTATAGTTGTATGCTTCACTGCAGCCATTTTGCTTACTTCAAGCGTGAGCTAAAAGTGTGCCTATCACCTTTGGGACTGTGACTTGGGGTCACTACGTTTGTGAGCCTAAATTCTCCGTTCATGTTGGCCCGTAGCATCCGCTATCACGAACATATCATTCATTGATGGTATGTCATTCCGAGCATCAAGAGAGCACACAATATTTGGGACAATGATATTCGAGTGTCTTTCCCTTTTTGTCATCATTCTTGTGTGTGTGCGTGTCAAACCTGCAGTTCTATCATTCTTGTCAAATCCAGAATCTTCTTGGCTGGTCTCTTTGCTTTGCTGGTGTCGTTGCTTTGGCTTGAGCCAGCTTTCACTAATTATGTTTTGTGTTTACAAGGCTCAATCAGTTCTCACACATTATGCATTTCTTTTGTTGGTGCTGCTGTTTTTGCACTTACTTGTCACGAAAGGTAGCCCTTTAGGGGATACCTTGAGTTTGACTTGCGAAGCAAGTGTCGGCGAGTCCGGGTCTAATAATTGATCATTCAATTCAACCCCCCCCCCCCTCGAACTTTTTTTTTAAAACCAACCCCCCCCCCCCCTCAAAATTCAATTCTCCGCTGGAGAACGTCTTCGTGAGCCTCTCATGATTTCAGGATAGTTGAAACCCTCTTGCCCTCTTGAACATTCAGAAAGAGTGCATATGAAATTCGAATTACGAAATGTGTTCTCGTTAAAATACCATTCTCTCCTGGAGACCGTCTTCGTAAGCGTCTCTGTGTTCCCCGAAAGGATCGCAAGGTGTTACATACCTAGAGTTTATTTTCTTCTCTCCTGGGGCCAAACTCAAGGAGCACGTCTTCGTGAGCCTCTCATGATTTCAGGATAGTTGCAACCCTCTTGAACATTCAGACAGAGTGCATATGAAATTCTAATCACGACAGGTGTTCCCCGAGGGGATACATACCTAGAGTTTGTTTTGTGAACCACGTCTATTCTCTTTTGGGGAACGTCTTCGTGAGTCTCTTCTGGTTTCAGAATAGTTTAAACCCTATGATGCTCCGATTCTATGCTCACCGATGATCTGAGCCATGGGGCGAGGTTGTTTCCTTATAAGAACCTTTCTGAACATTTCGAGAGCATATGAGCAACGGCTTCTATTTGCGGTAGTGGTGATTGGTCTAGGGGCGTTCCTTTTCTATAGCCCAATGTCAGAGTTAGTTGGCGAAACGAGGTAGGAACACCCCGAAAACGAGATGGGCATCAAATGCGCCATTTGTTTGCAATCGTTTGGTTAATGACATGTTTAGCTTGTGAAACGAGGTAGGAAGACCTCTCGAGAACGAGATGGGTTTCCACACGCCAAAACGAAATACAGGCATGGAGACCGAGATCACACACCAAAAACGATGCGGGCTTGGAGACCGCTGCTGTGGCTCGAAGTATGCCACTCGCGTTCTCTTCTCTTCCCGCTGTCCTACCTTTCGTGTCTCCTTCCTCTCAAGTTGCTATTGATGTTGCTGGAGCGATCCGCAATGATTCTAGTGTGTTTTTTTGAAAGTTGGCGCTCCTACATGATATCACACATGGAAACATGCAGGTCTAAACCGCCCATACAAGCACATGAGGACATGAGGCGTTAAAGAACACGAGATTGGAACATGAAGACACATAGAGAAACACTGTGGTCAACGCAAGAATCATAGTAGGCTTGTGGGACTTGCTGTTTTCTGGGATTGGCCATGCCTCAAGAAGTGTTTGTATTACCAACCGGCTACTGTATCCATTTACAAGTGCTGTGCTTGGTTCCAGAAAGCTATGCGCTTAGCCATGATTGACAGGTATGTTTGCGAATTGAATTGCCCACATATTCATTGAGGAGGCCTATGTCCATGTTGTCCATGTGAGGCAGGGTAGACAACATATCATCGCATCGCAATCCAAGTACATGACATTTTTTGGTTTGCCCCCAAATCATACCGCGAAAGGTTGCGGAATTGACGCTCGTCGCAGGTTGTGCGACCTGACCTCCGTTTGCCCTTGAGTATTGGACCTGGCATCGCAAAATGAGATGTGTGCTCAGCCAGACAGCCAGCGAGGACCTATTTATCTTTGTTGCTTCATGCGTTTGCTTTTGATCGAAGTGCAGCTCACTCGTGTCAAAAGGCCCTCACTTGAGCGGTGTCATGTGAGAGGCAAAAAGATTGTGTTGAGGCCTCCTTAATGAAGTCCCTTCAAAAGCAGCCTGATTAAAGGGGCCAAAACCCACCTGGTTTTTAATCTAAAAACAAAAAAAAACGACTTCACTATAGAGTTTATATACTTTCGGATATATAAGACGTCAAGATGCCAGATTGAACTTTGTAGGCATTGGTCGAGTCATTAATGCAGCTTAACCTGCATGCTTGCTGGAGACTGAATGGAGGGTAAAAGCGCTTCCCAAGCAAGCCCTTAAGCTAGAGCAAGTGATTTGCCTTTTGTAAGCCCTGCAAGCTAAAGCCAGCTGAGTCACGGCTTCTGGGCCTGTGCAATATTGATGCTGTTCTTTGTTCTTTATTCTTGTGGGGGGGGCAAGAACGTAATGCAGCCGTCTTCTTTACTCTTGAAGAGATTTCAATGGGTGATGAGAGACAACAAGGTTCGGAAGGACACGAGCAGATATGAAAGGTTCAAAAGATACTGGTAGCAGGGCAGTTTCTGTTGGCACATTTACATCTCAAGTCCGATCCTGTGTCTGCAGTGGTTTATATAAAGCCTTGTATATATCCTTTATCAAGCGAAAATACACATGGACAGTACAAATCCTTTGAGAGGAAAGGTTTGGGAGCCCATCGACATCTCACAGCAAAATGCTTGGAAGCGGCAAATGCACTTGGGGTCTTTCGTGGTGAACGTAGATGCCTGAAGTATAGGCTGTCCAGCAATGGCTCGTAAAGTGCGCAAGGCAGGGAATGTTTTGAGTTTCAGAGGCAATCTCTCACAGAATGTGGCGTGCGGTCTCTCATACAAGAAACCCGATGAGTTGCAATGAGATATCAAAGCAAAACTTATGAGCACGTTCGGCACGAAAGCCTAAGACCAGTCAAGGGTTGCAGAATCAGAAGAAAGCCACTTGAGCCGCCGCCTCTTCATATTAAATCATATTAAATCAGGCCCTGATTCTTTGGCAATAATTATACCCCTTGCTTTGGTGCTGCTTGTGGAAACACAATGTAGAGTTTGGCATTTCGATTCTGGGTGTTCGACTCTACAGGTGACCAAAGCCAAGACAAAGAAGCAAGGCCCTGTCTAGAGTCTAGACGTGCTCAAATGAGCCACACATTGTGTGACCTGATAAAGGACGGCATAGCCATCCATTGCATAGTTTGTCGTTTGCGTTTTGTCGCAATGGGCTTGTCACGTGTTGGTCGTGTTGGTTTGTTGGTACAATGTGTCATATCATGTCCTGTAGGCTCACACTGTGAAACCGTAGGTAACCAGGAGGCTCTTGCCAAGGTGCTCTTGACTTCCCTGCTCCAATGCATTTGTACTTGTGAGGGTGGGTCGAAGGTGATAGTGACAGCTACACTTTCAAAGGGTTGCCAACATGTCAAAAGAATGCCAAAAACAACTACGGCAAATTTAGCTCCTACATATTTGTAATTTGTGTGTGTGTGTGTGAAGAGTAAACGTCTTGAGGTGAAGGTCAGCGCCATGAAGACGAACTGCAGGCAATTAAGGAGCACCTGGCCATTCAGTGCACTGCATGACCACAGTATTCAGATGAGCATGCATATAGTAGTGAAGGTCTTTCCGTGTTTGGCTCAGTGAGTTTGCAGGAAAAGGATCCGGATTTCTATCGCTTCCTTGTTGAAGAGGACGTACACCAGCACACCAGCATCTATCAGCATGTTCTTTTCACCGTGTTTCCCACAGAAAAACTTATATACACTTGGAATCACTTGCACAGCACTGCTTTTCAAGGACCAGCAACTTCTGGACTTTACGGCCGACATGGAGGCTGAAAGTGAGGCTGAAGTATTTCTGAGTACTGTGCAGCCATTTGAAGTGGCAGAGCGTGCAGAGCCCTCGGGCAATTCCAAGCAAATAAATGTTGAGGAAGTGCATCAATGAAATAGATTGTGGCTAGACTGCGGGGACAGGGATTGGAAGTGGTCAGGAAGTTTAGCCTTGCAAACCCAAGATGCTATTTATATGATCAGTGAGGGCAGTCAAGAAGTGCTTTGTGAAAGGATGAGAAGGTTGAAATTGATGAGAAAGCTGAGAAAGCTCCGAAGGATTTTTCACGTGTTGTGGTGCATTTTACAATCACTCTCATACAACCTCTTCATGAGTCCTTCATTAACCTATATTGCTTTGCCCTGAGGAGAAGAGCCGGCTTTTGACCTTGGAGCGTTTTGAACAAATTCGATCTTCGGCAACAAAGTCCTTTACAGCCTTCAAGGTGCTTCCTTCAAGAGGGACTTGAGAGCTTTCGATGTCTTTTAACTTTTAACCCAAGAACCTCTCAAAAGACCTACGTGTATTATTTTTTGACATGATGGAATTTAGATGAGAGTGCACCTCCATGTTGTCTTACGAAGGCAGAGTTGCTTTATATATTCTCAGCGTTGCGTAGGCACTATGTGGAGAACCTTGTGTTGAGGTTGTGGTAGAGGCTCTAAATCGAATTATATAGTGCATTAATAGTGCCAACTTGTATGAAAGATTATGACAGCTTTTAAATCAACACCAATGAGGGCAGTACTGGGATTTGAAAGGGATGAAAGGACTTGACACAGCAACTTGGCTTCTAGTTTCAAGCCTTCTGAGAAGGTTTAGAAAGTCCATTGCACAGGCGCTCGCATAGCCACCAGTAAGTGCGCGATGGTTCGCGTAGGCACCCTTTGCAGAAGCGTTATCCCTGCTCAAGCTGTCGTGTATGCACCCCGAAACTGTATACCCCAGAAGCAACCGTCAAAAGAAACACAACTCAAAAGACTTCCAGATTGTTGTTTGTTGAAGAGGTGTTAGATGACAAGACCCAACGCGTGAGGCAGAACTGCCAGCAAGTCTAGCAAGTTTAGCATGTCAAACGTACGAGGAAGAAGTCTTTCCCAACACAAAAATATGACATGCAGACCCCCGTCCGTAAAATGCTAAACGATGAATATTATAGGAAAACTACTTCCTCGTAAGTTCTGGAGAGAGTAAACCCTTTGGTATGTGACAGTATGTGCGTCAAATTATTCTGTGAAAGGACGCTTCGAGTCGAGGTGTGAAAGACATCAAGTATTCCGTCACACCAACAGAAGATCACTAGAGCTTTGTGTGCTTTGTGACACAGACCTCAGGCAAGCAGCTTGTTCCCTCACAAGCAGCAAAGTCGGTAAAGTCTGGGACTGGTTGAAGGGCTTGGTCACAGAATGTTTCGATGAGAAAGTTCTATAAAGTTCTGAGTTGCGGAATGTTGAGATGAGTTGCCCATGAAGGTGAGATAAAGGAATCTTCGCGTGAGAGGTATGCAAGTGAAGTTTGGGGGTGCAGCATCTTACAGAGTTTGAGGAGATTGGCAAAGAGTTTCACTCAAATTGGCAGGGCTGCGTCAGGTGTGCGCTGCTTAGGATCGCAGTTGCACTAATTAAGAAGGCGGACACGTTCAAAACGCATTGGCAGGGCTGCATGAGGTGTTTGCTGGGCTGCTTGTATCGTTCCACTCATACTATGTTGGGGAGTGCAACCTCTTTGTGGTCGCAATGCAGCAAAAAACTGTCGCAGCTCAAGCAACTAACTGCAGCTGTTCTGCGTCGGGTTACTTCACTGACACATTGGGCAATTGAGCAAGTCCACGGCAGAACTGAGTACGCAAGATAGTTATCTGAGAAGAAAGCATGTCTTTGCCCAGCAACAGACGGCAGAATCCAGGCTTTGACTCCCTCACCAAGAATTCTACACGCTGTTGACGCTGCTGTACACCACACAGGTCTCCAGTCTCCAGGTGTTCCGCGATTGGTCATGCCTAGTGGCTCGTTGTAGGGAGACGTCACAGACATATCGTGTTCCCAAGTGTGTTCCCTCAGCCGTCACAAGTCAGGTGCAAATTGTACCACATCACCACATTGCACTTCATCCCCGGCAAAATCATCATACCAGATCACACTTGTCAAGAATCAACACTTTAGCTTTGTGCTTTTGTGAAACTTCCCCTGGCCCTTCTGGTGATTTTCCGCTTGGTTAATAGTCGCGAATTTTGGGCAGTTGGGCAACCTCTTGTGTGCAATGAACTAGCAAGTGCCAGCTTCCTTTTGTTCCTTTTTTGGCGGCAAGTACTCCAATGCCAAAAACTTTTGCAGCATGTTCAAGATGAGACTTGCGAACTGGACGAATTCCGAGACTTCGGAAAGAGCCCAACAGCGTGCAGAACGAGCAATGCATTCCTGGATCCACACATGGCACTTTGAGGCATAGATTCTCCTTGTTTAATTGGGCGAGCCTACCTCAAAGACTACAGTATATTTGCATTAATTTGTAACAATAAGAAGGCAAGGCTTGGACAGACGCCAAAAATGTACCTGCTAGAGTCGGAAGACGCAAATGCTTGCTTTCATATATGCTGTCAAATCATGTCAAATCTATCGAAAGCTCAAACTTCAGAGAAGCCAACCGTCACTCTTTAGTATAGCAGCGACTCGCTTGGCGGTTGTACCAGCCAGCCTCACGGAGAAATTCCAGGATATGGTGAAAGGCTCGGGATACTAGCATGAGCGGTGCTTCGCTTGATGTGGCTGGGACCGCTGCTCACGGATTTGGATGTAGAGGCAAGAGCTTCCTGATTCTTTGCCAAGTGGCAAGTGAGTGGTTGTTTTCTATACAGTAGATGGTGCTTACTAGCTAGGTTGCCATTACCGGTGTTGCCTCAACTGCTGGAGAACGGAAAAAGACAGCCCAGGTTCAGGCAAGTTTGGCAGACTTCCTGCACACTTGAGATGAGTGCTCCGCGGAGCTAAGCTTCAGTGGTTCGCGGTGAGCATTAGCACTTTACGCTTACTGCAGATTATACCTTGGCTGGTGAACTGAAAGGTGAAGGAGTCCGCATCAACAGTATTGTTGTTTAACATGGGTGAGACGAAGGCGAGACGAGAGTGTTAGAAAATGTTGCAGGTACGTCGATCCAGCGTCCCGGATCGTCTTCGCTGGTGCCAGTCCTAGTGTGCATCCCTGGCACCCCCTGCTGAACTATGATAGTGCAGTAGAAGCCCTAGAAGCGGGAGTTGACACACACAACC